TTTCAGCTGTGCTTGGAGAAGAAACATGAATACAAAAAAAATGGGCTGATGCCTACTGTCCACATTCATTAGCCTCCATTTGCAAGACAGATTAAGTGACCTCAATGCATTGCCTATATATCCCACATCTTCTTAACCCACTCTACTACTCAGCGATTAAAAAAGATAAACTGATGCCATTTGCAGCAACATGGATGGAGCTGGAAGGGATTATGCTAAGCAAAATTAGCCAGAAAGATAAAGTGATGGTGTCACTTATAGGTGGAATGTAGAGAAACCAAATAAAGGGTCAAAGATGAACTTTAAAACCAACCTTTGAGGCATCAAGGGCAGGAGAGGGAGGGATGAAAAGCAAGGAAGAGCACAATGGACCTTGGTGGGGGTGTAGGGGTGCTTTGATGGTGGGAGAGCTACTGTGACCACACCTGAGGGGAGAAATCCTAGGATGCAAAACAAAACCTCTTTTGAAAAAACAGAATTTTTTTTTAAAAGATTTATTTTATTCATGCATACAAGAACTGGGGCACAGGCCAGATGTGCCGGGGGTGGGTGGGGGGGTTTCAGAGGATTCACCAGAGACAGAGCAGGGAACAGAACAGGCAGACTGACCGAAATACACTACTGAGGGGAGCAGTGGGCGAGACAGGAGAGGTCTGCTGCGCCATGTGGGTATCTTGCAGGCAGGCCGGGATCGAACCCACGCTGCAGACAGCTTCACAGCACTGCGCTCAACTACCCACATCACCAGGAGAGGCCCTAGAATTTTTAATTTAAACACTCTCTGTGCAGTGTTTTCTCCCATTGCCTTACCTGCCTTGTGAGCAGAAAGAGTAATTAAGCTTGGCAAATGAGAAAAAAGCAACACTACCAGTGACTCAGATAGCAAATAATCTTCGCCCATGATAATGTATATAGTGAACTAGAGTAATATCCATACCATAAAGTCTCAAAATGTCAGATACATGTGGTTCACAAAGTATCATCCCTTGACCAGAAGCAACAGCATCAACAGGGGACTTATTAAAATGCAAATTTGGGGGTCTTCCCTCATCTATCAAATCAGGATTTCTTAGGCCAGGATCCAGCAATCTCTCGTAAATACACTCCAGAGGTGATTCTCATGCCCACAAGAGCTGCAGAATCACTGATCGGGAGAGAACTCGCAAGCTGATGTCTCTGTGAACCAGCAAGCAGCATTAGCATCACCTAGAGTTTGTCCGCCGAGCAGAACCTCAGGCCCCATCTGGATTTACTGAATTGGAATCTGAATTATAAAAAGGTCTCCCAGTGGCAAGCTGGTCAGGTTTGAGAAGTGCTCTACTTGCCCAATGACTCCTGTTCAGGCGGAAGTGTACCCCTCCCCACTTCATAGGCTGCAGTTCTAACCCCTAGTACCTAAAATTAACCATATTGGAAGACAGGGCCTTAAAAAGGTAATCAAGCAAAATCAGGTCATGTGGATGGACTTAATCCAAGCCATCTAGTTTCCTTTTAAGAAGAGGGGATAGGGATAAGGGGCCTCCCCCGTGGCGCAGTGGTTGAGCGCTGGGTTGTGAAGCTGCCTGCAGCCTCTGCAGCGCCAGTTCAATCCCCAGCCGCTGGCGAGGGTCCCACATGGGGCAGCAGACCTCTCCTGACTCACCCACTGCTCCCCTCAGCAGTGTATTTCATCAGTCTGCCTGTTCTGCTCCCCGCTATGTCTCTGGGGAATTCTCTCACCCTCCCGCGCCTCTGGCCGGTACCCCAGTTCTTTTATAAATACATAAATCCTTTAAAAAAAAAAAGAGGGAATGAGGACACAGGAAGGAAAGGCCATGTGAGGTCATAGGACAGCCATGGACAGAGTCCTCAGGAAAACAACCCTGCCCATACCTTGATTTCCAACTTCCCGCCTCCAGAACCAAGAGCTAATAAATGTTATTTAAATCACCTGGCCTGGGGTACTGCCTTACAGCAGCCCAAGCAAAACAAGATAATTCCAAAACTCAAGCGCGTGCTGGCCTCACCTGGGGAGTTTTAAAGATTCCGACACCTGGTTCCATCCCTAAAGATTCCAATTTATGTTTCCTGGGGACGAGCCTATAAATCTGATCCTTAAAAGCTCTCTAGGTGATTTTTAAAAAGCCACAAAGTTTATCAATGATAATCTACTTCCTTTTTTTGACTGCTGAAAATTCTAAAAAGGTAGGATCCTAGAATTTTAAGTTTCAAACGCTTGGTACTCCCTTCACTAACCTCCCATCCTCAAGTCCCAAAATCTGATTCCTTTTGTAAATATTTCAGGATTCCCACAGGGAAGGAAGTCAAGAATCAAAGCTAGCAATACACACTCTTTTTCTTATGCTTCAACTTTAAATTATTTTTTTGTGCTAGGGATTGTCCTGAACATTTCTGATAGTAATCTTCCATAGAACAGGTAGAGAGATGACTCCCCCTGCAAAAAAAAAATAACAGGTTTACCTAAATTGTCAGTACCCACCACTTCTCCTTAAATTCTTGTTGCCCTCCTGTTAGGAGTCTGGAGGGCAAGCTAGGGTCCAAATGAAAGACTCTAAGATTGTGTGTACCAACACTTCAGGGTGTAGGTTCCAAACCACTAGTTTTTCTTGATACCCCCTCCTTTCCCCTTGTCCCTGTGAAGTTGTGAAGCTCCAAATTCAAGTCTGTTCACAGGACAACTATTTACTGAATGTTCAACCTGTTCAGTTACAGGAACTGGAGGATCTGACCCAAACTTAATTGAAACCATATATACTTTTTCTTGGCATCTGAAGCATCTGAAAGTTAACACACTCCACAAAAGTGATTTAGGACCCTTAAAATGCCATAAACTGGGCCTTCCCAGTGGCTCAGCAGGTTGAGCACAGCACTGTGAAGCTGTCCACAGCCTCTGCAACGCGGGTTCGATTCCCAGCCAGCCAGCCAGGGAGATGGCCACATGGCGCGGCAGACCTCTCCTGTCGCGCCACCTGCTCCCCTCAGCAGTGCTTTTGGTCTGTCTGCCTTTTCTGCTCACCGCTCTTTCTCTGGTGAATCCTCTCACTCTCCCGTACCTCTAGCCTGTACCCCAGCTATTGTATAAATAATAAATCTTTAAAAAAATGCCATAAACCTTGGGAGGGAACCCTGTTTCTGTATGTGCTTTTCCTACATGGATATCTAATTTTCTACTTGACCCAATCATTAGTAGAGTCACAAATTAAAAGAGAAGCATTTTCATGACCATCCAGTAGATTTGCCAGCTAGTTCCCCAAAGCCATTGCCAAGCTTACCCTTCCTGACCGCCTTTCCAGGAAGAAAGCTAAAAAGTCTAACACTTTTGCAGCCTCCCTTTACCACTAAGGACAGTTGTGTGGCTCAGCTCTGGCCAGTAAGATCCAAGGGAGATTCTGTTGAGGAACTTTAGGGAGATATTTTTTCGCTGATAAGAGAAAGCTACATGAGGGAAAATAACTCTGTACCTTTCTACCCACCCCTGGTTTCTTGCCTTTGTACATGGGATAAGGATGCAATGCCTGGAACTGTGAGCGCCATCTTGAAACCACGAGGAAAAGCACTGACCCAGACTCCCAACATTGCTGGGCCATTAAAAAGCAAGCCCAGTGCACACTTGCTGTCAGGCTTCAGGATTTGCTAAAGCCACTTTTAGGTAGCCCTCCTGCTACTGTAGAAAAAAAAAAATCACAATAGAAGTTTTCCGTATAAGTCATACTCTCATTTATTTAGAATAGTGTAGTCTGAGGAGCCACACTTTGAGAGTTTGAGAGTCACTGAATAAGGATTATCTTAGTGAAGAAAATGCAAGCTCAGGGATTGTAAACCCAGCCTAGACCTTCAAAATCTCTCTCTCTCTCTCTCTCTCTCTCTCTCTCCCCCTCTCTCTCTCTCTCTCTTTCACCCTTCCTTTTTCTCTCATCAAACCCCACCTTAGTAGGATCCAGGGATACAAAGATGAATTAAGACATAATTACTTCTACCTTCCAAGAAAGGTTACAATTTTGAGGCAGACTGGTGTGTAAGCCAAAGTCATAAGATGGTAAACTCTAAGAGATGCAAAGGTGAGGGGTCAGATTATCAGAGAAGTGAGAAACCTCACTAGTGGGGGGGGGGAGGTGTTGGGCTCCCTACAAAAAGCTCTGGAAAAGAGGATTATCAAAACTTCCACTCTACTCCAAAAAGTTAATCCCTATGACCTCACACTAAACATCTAAGTTTTTTTTTAAATTTTCTTCTGGGAAAAGGGGGGTGGAGGGTCCTTCTCTAAAATGACAGACCATAAACCAAATAACAATTCGGGAAAGAGAAATATATGATAGGGGACTCTATCCACTGCCAGAAATCTGTCCTCACCCATTTTCTCTCCCACAAAGCAGGCTAAAGACATGGTTTGAGGAGGGGGAGGAACTTCCCTCCCTGGATAGCAGGGATGCTTGTCAGGAACAGAATTGTGCTGTGAATGAAGAGCACCTGTTAGCATTGCATAAACCAAACACTGATGATAAAGCAGTCAGCCCTCAACAAGCTACAGATTCACACATTCCAGGAGGTTCTCTCCTCCATTACTTTTAAGCAAAAAACAACAACAGCAATAATTAGTACCTATTTAATAGTCACAGAAACACTTAGGATTTAATGGTTGCGAAAGAGAGCAGCTCACTCAGCATGGATTTCCAAAAGCCGAGAGTGGATGCAACCCCACGGGTAGAGGAAAAGGCAAACTAATAGGTAGCTTTGCAATGTTAAATCCTTAGAAGAAACAGAACAGTTCCTCTCATTGATTTTCTTGCCAGGAAAATAATAGGTTTTGAAACATCTATGAAAATAAGACCAGCAGCAGTCTCCTAAAATTTTCCTGGAATACAGCACATTAAAAATGAAATATTCAATAGAGTCCTTCAAAGAATTGCTTGCACGTTCTGGTGGCATTCACCTTAACGGTGCCTCCGAACATTTGGATTCGGTCAAAGATGAAGAGATAGACACGCCGCGACTGCGCTTACCTTACAGCTCGGGCACGTCGTGGGCTGGCTGGAGAGGCTGGTTCCAGGAGCTCAACTCCGGGCACAGTAACGCACCCGCCACCTGCACAGGCAGAAGGAAACCCCCTGGCGAATGAGTGCGGCTCAGCCCTCCAGTTCTCTAGCCCCCCCCCCAACCCCCACGCACCTCAAAGAATCACCCGGGGAGAAGTGGGGGAGAGGAAGGAAACACAAGAAACAAACCAAACATTCCTAGCCCCCAAAACGCCGCCTCCGGACCTTGCAAGGTACCCGGGAAATGAAGGCTTTGGCTACAGAGTTTGGCTTGTTGGGGGCCGGAGCGTGGATTTGGTAGGCTCTGCTACGTTTTTAAAATCTAACTTTCCGTCTCCAATGGAGAGACCCAGCGGGAAGAAGCCACGGGAGACAGAGGCACACACGGGGAGCCCCCCCCCGCCCCCGAGTCAGCCAAGCGGGAAAGCAGCCGGAGGAGAAACTTACCTGCCCGCGCCTAGACGGAGACGCGGCCGCTCCAGCCTTGGGGTTGGGGGGCGGGAGATTCAGGGGGGCTGCGCTGCAGCTGCAGAGGAACCAGACCCCAGGCAGGAGGCCAGTCCCGCTCCTAACCCGAGGGAGCCGGGTGACTCACGCGCTTGGCTCCCGCCCCTCGCGCCGCGCGCCCCTCTCCCTCCCCGCCCGCCGCAGTACCCGCGCCGAGCGCTGGGAGGCGGCCTCCCGCCGCCCCGAGCCTCCGGGCTCTCCGCCCGACGCCCCCGGCGGCCGCGTCGGGACCCACCCGGCCGGAGCGGCCCAGGATTCGGCCCGCCGCCCCAGACCACCGCCCGCCAATCACCGCCAGACGAGAGCCTCGGCTGCAGCTCCCCTCTCCTCGCCCCACCCCCACCCGCCCCCCAAGGACCCGCTGCCTCGGAGCCCAACGCACTTTCCACCCGTCACCTCTTCCGGCCTAGCCCAGGCCCTCCTTCGGGTCGCGCCAACTCTCAGCGGGACGCACCACCAGCCCTTAAAGGACACCCATCGCGCCACCCTCGGTCTCCCCCTTTTGGTGACTCCAGAACCCACCCAGCCCAGAAACGGGCGCAGCTGGCCCCTCAAGATCCCAGGTGTTTTCTATTCCACCGGACTCCCCTCTTCCCAGACATTCACCTTACAGGGCCTCGCCCCCAGCGTTGCCTACCTCCCATCCTTTCCACCTGCCAGCTGGATTTGGCAATGCCCAGACCCTCGCGCCGTCGGTGTTTAAGTCCAGCGTCTCCCTACTCCCCAGCTGCAACTGCACAGTTCAGTTCCCCCTTCCTGGGTGGGGATGCTGTGAGGCTACCCACATCTTAGATCCGCTTTCAGGGTCCTGGCTGAGAGCAGTGGAGACAGGGGCACCCTTGTTTTTTGGCTCTGGATGGGGAGGACTGTAGAGCCCTACCCAGCTCTATTGGGGCAGTAGAGGCAGCATAAAGTGCCAGGAATATAGAAGTAACATCCCCAGGAAATACGGATTGGAAATTCTGCCTAGGGGCCTGCCTTTGTTCCCGTAGATGTTACCTTGTGCTGGGGAGAGGGGTGATGAGGTCATGAGCCTGTCTCCATCATACCAAAACTGGGGGAAGAGCATGGCCAATAACAATCCCCTTCAACTTGGCAAGAGCGAGGGCTTACAGAGTTCAGAGAAAAAGAAACTCGAATGGAGAGACTCAAAAATCTTCCAGGCTCCAGGACTGCATTTCAGCTGCCTTACTTCCCACAATTTTGTAAAGAATGGAAGATTACTGCCTATTCAGAAAAAATGGCAGTCTCCCCCAACACACACCCTCATCATCCCATTGCTTTTTTTGTTTGTTTGTTTGTTTGTTTTTCAAACCCTCCTTATAAACCTAGATCGCCCTTACAGTGGGCAGGAATTATAACATTCATTTCAACGCCCCAGGCCTGACCCAATGAAAATAAATTTTTAATGAAAACTCAAAGATCTTCAGGCCTCCCTGGTGGCGCAAAGGGTTAAGACACAACCTAGAAGCTATCTGTGGTCGCTGCAATCCCTGGCCAGAGAGCCACCCACATGGCGCAGCAGACCTCTCCTGTCTCGCCCGCTGCTCCCCCAGCAGTGTATTTCACTCAGTCTGCCTGTTCTGTTCCCCGCTCTGTCTCTCGCGAGTCCTCTCACCCTCCACACTTCTGGCCTGTACCCCAGTTCTTGTATGCATAAATCTTTAAAAAAGAAAACTCAAAGGTCTAATATTCAGGATCTTTCTACCTCGACCTTCCCCTGCCACCTCTATACTTTCCCTCTTCCCCATCTATTCTCGACTTGCCTTCTTACCTACACCTACTTTCCTGAGTAATATTGTCTCTCAGCTTCTGAACCCCTACTCTAAGTCTGTACAGTCCCATTTATTTTCCAACTTTATTCCTTCTCTTTTTCTGAAGTCTCCCCTTTGCAGCATCCCTCTTTGCTATCTCAGTTTCAAGTTCATCCTCAATGAAATGCTTTTGATGATTTTTTTTAAACTTCTTTTTTTTTTTAATTTTTTTCTTTAAGATTTATTTATTTATTTATTTATTTATTTATACAAGCACTGGGTATAGTCAGAAGCGCGGGATGGTGAGAGAATTCACCAGAGTCAGAGCAGGATGCAGAATAGGCAGAAGGACCGAAGTACACTGCTGAGGGGAGCAGCGGGCGGCAGGAGAGGTCTGCGCGCCATGTGGGACCCTCCTCCGGTGGCCGGGGAGCAGCCGGGGATTGAAGTGGCACTGCAGAGGCTGCGGGCAGCTTCACAACCCAGAGCTCAACCGCTGCGCCACCGGGAAGTCGTTAGGTACATGGATCAAAATTCTTACCTATCATAAATCCTCATTCCTCCCAGAGCATGTGTGTGTGTGTGTGTGTGTGTGTGTGCCCAAGACAATGTCTTTTCTTGTGAAGTAATTAACCATAAGACTTACTAGAATCATATATTCATTCCTTCACTCTATGCACATTTACTGTGTGCCTACTATGTATTAGGAGTTGTGTCAGGTGCTGAGTTTATAGAGCTCAGTAAGACAAAGTCACTATCATCAAAATTCCCTAAATAAAAAGTCGGGTAAGGAGAAGAGCCGGCAATAAATAAAGTCACGCAACAAGGCTGTGATGGGGAAGTGTACAAGCTAGTGCAGGAATGAGAGGGAGCTCCATGAAGGAGATGGGGGTGGTCATGAAAAATTTCACCAGAAGATAATTGAATTGAGTCTTGAAATAAGACTAGGAGTTTTCCAGGAAAAAAATAATGGGAGAAATGCACAGACGATGATTAATTTACTTGTGTCTCCTTTCTCTTGTGATGGTGTCATTTTTAGTGTCTAAGACAGCTGCAAAGTTAAAGAGTCCTCCTCCCTGATGGCTCCAGCAAAGCTCCACAGGTTGGCGAAGCTTCGGTCCTACGAACCTGAACCAACCTCCATGACCAAGTAGGTAGCGTATTCTCATCGACTACCCTGAGTCATGTGTGCCCTTTCTTGCTTGTGTGTTTGGGGGCAGGGGGGTGTGATGAATAAATTAAAAGCCTTACCTGATGAGGGAGATCCAGTTCCTACAGTAAAAGATATAGGAAAGGTGTGGACAAAAGTAGCATGTCAACTACACGTATACAGGCATTTTCCTGAAAAAGCATCTCTCATTTTACAAAATGACACACCAAAACCAACAAGGCTTATGGAAAAAAAAAAACTCAGGGGAAGATCAGTCAAAAATATGCCAATTTATTAGCAGAGTATTAACAAAATAAAAAATTAATATCTTAGGCAGTAAGTTGGAACACAGCTTGGTCTGGCTAGTGGCTGCCTCATGGAATATTAGAAATACAAGAAACCAAAAGAGAGGAAATTCTGGCTTGACAGAGCTGAGACGATGCAGATGGAGGTAGAGCTCCATGGCAGCAGGTTATCATTCGGGTGGGCACAGGAAGAAGTACATTCGCCTAAAGCAAGAACCATGCAAGGTTGGGGGCTGGGTTGTACCTCCTTGGGGAGGAAACTCTGGGTGCAGATCCTCACTTTTGATTTTCTCAAAATAAAGCTAAAAGGCTCCTGACTGTGCAGCACCGAGTTGGGTCCTTTCTCTCTGCATGCTGACGGTCATAAACTCCAACACAACTTTCACATTGTTCTCCTATTTGCAATTGCATATAAGCTATTTGTATAAAATGTGCTAACAGAAGAGATGGTTCATTTATTTATTCATTCATTCATTTGCTGTCAAATAATTATCAAACATGCATGACCTACACTGGTCCTGTGTTTCTAAATTCCAAATGTCATTTGCTCCCAGATATATATCTCTGGCCTCAATGCTTCCTCTGAATTCCAGACACTTACCCAGCAACCGGCTTAACATTCCCACTTGGATAACTAATAGGAATTATCACATTGTACAAAATCCAACTCTTGATCCATTCCTCCTCAACCTTCTCCCTTTGAGGTCTTGCTAGTTTTATTTAATGGCAATTCCATTCACGTTGATGTTTAACTTAAAAATCCTTAGATCACTTCTCTCTTTCAGAGTCTTTGCTTCTGGCCCCTACAGTCTATTCTCCCACAGTGACTGCAATGAGCCTTTAAAAATACAACAGTAGGACCTCCCTGGTGGCATAAGGGGTTCAGAAGCAATCTATGAAGCTATCCGCAGACACTGCAGCACAAGTTCGATCCCCAGCCAGGGAGATACCCACATGGGACAGCAGACCTCTCCTGACTCGCCCGCTGCTCCCCTCAGCAGTGTGTTTGGTCAATCTGCCTGTTCTGTTCCCTACTCTGGTGAATCCTCTCACCACCCGCACCTCTGGACTGTACCCCAGTTCTTGTATGCATAAATAAATAAATCTTTAAAAAAATTAAAAATAAAAAAAATACAATGGTAAACATGTCATCCATCTGTTCAAAATCACTGCATTGTCTCTTGCCCCTGAGTAAAAACTTAATTCTGCAATGGTCACTACATTCCTGCATGATCAAATACGTGGCCACCATCTTTCTAAAACTAGCCTCTTCCAGGTCTTCCTATTTTTCTCCTCTCCATTCATACAGGCCTCCTTGCTGTTCCTTCAGAACACAAGGTTGGGTACACTGCCTGTTTCCTCTGCCTAGAACTCGCTTCCCCCAGATATCAGCAGGTCCCTCTCTCAACAACTCTAGGTTTCTCTTCAATCCTTCAACAGATCTTCCACATCCTTGATACCTGATTTCAAATAGTGACTCTCCCACCTAACTCCCAGCACTCTCTACCCCCATTCCTGCTTTGCTTTACCCCATAATCCTCATCACCATATGATGTACTAAATATCATATTTATTTATGTCTGTATGTTCTGTCACCCATCTGTGCAATATAAACTCCATGGAAACATGGATTTCTGTTTTATTCAATGCAGTATCCCTGGTCCCTAAAAGACAATCTGGCAAGCAGTAGCACTTAAGAAATATTTAAGTGTGTATTTGCCTGACATGTGCCAGAAATATGGCAATAAATAAAAGAGATAAAGCCTTCCCATTGTGTGTGTGTGTGGTGTGTGTATGTGTTTTCTTTTTCTTTATAAAGATTTATTTATTTATTTATACAAGCACTGGGTACAGTCAGAAGCACG